TGCCCCACGGAGCGGGCACTGCCGGTGCCTCCGCCGCCGCCCGGAGCCCTCCTGCGGAGCTCCCGTGATCGCCCACGGGAGGCGAAGCGCCGGAGCCGCTGCCTTCAGACGGGGCTCACCCCGCTGCCTTGAGAGGGGGTTCATCCCGCTGCCTTGAGACGGGGCTCATCCCTCTGCCCTAAGACCAAGCTCATCCCGCTGCCTTGAGACGGGGCTCATCCCGCTGCCCTGAGACGGGGCTCATCCCCCTGCCTTCAGACGAGGCTCATCCCGCTGCCCTGAGACCGAGCTCATCCCTCTGCCCTGAGACCGAGCCCATCCCGCTGCTGGACGCACGGGGAGCATCCCGGGCAGGACAGTCCCGCTCCCCCCGCTGGTGGAGACGGCGCAGCGCCTCCCGGCGCCCGAGCGCTGTGCTGGGCGGGCCCCGCCGAGCCGGCCCCGCCCCGGGCCGGGTTCCGAGCTCCGAGCTCGCGGCTGGGGAGCAGCGCCGAGCTGAGCTGAGCTGAGCTGAGGCGAGCCAGCCCATCGSCGGGGCACAGCGAGCGGCAGCGCGGCCCCACGATCAGGTGGGTCGGGCCGGGCCGGGCTGTGGGAGCCGGGCCGGGGGGCGGCAGCCGCTGCTGTGGCCCCTCAGCCCCGGGCGGGTCGGGCGGTGGTGRGGGTGCTCTGAGGGGCTGAAGGGAGGCACCGTGTCCCCCGTGCCGTCGGGGATCGGGGCATCCTCTGGGGTCCTGCCGGGATCATGGTGGCGGTACCGAGACGTCGCTTTTCAGAGAGTTCTGCTCCGGCAGCACCACTCACACCGCTTTCCAAAAGGAAAAAAAACCACAGTCTTTGGGCCGTGCCCCTTTCCCGGACGGTGAAGTTGAGGGCTTAAGCTGTGTTTTATGAAGAGAGTATTGAAACTTTACCCAACCAACAGAGCCGGGAGTAAACTAYAACCAAATGCTCAAATGTAGCACAGGAAAATTTTCAACACATCCGGAGTGGTTGCTGTTTTTCCAGAGAATCCCAGGATAGCTATGGGAAAGGGCTCTAAGCCTTGCTTTGTGTGTGTGTGTTAGACAAAGACTCGGAAATCACAGTTTGGATCTCACATCAAGAAACAGCTCAGGATCTTTGCGGTTTTTTTTTCCTCAACCGAGTTATGTTTCAGATTTTGTTCTCATACAGGTAACTTTTTACCGTTCTCTTTATCCGTTTCCAGTTCTGTACCTGTGGTTGCATTAATCACTGACTCTTTAATGAGAACTTATGGAGATGTTGGACACATTTTCCAGTTAGCCTGGGCAAAGCATGGTGGTAGGAATTTCTCTCCACAGACTTGCAGCACAAATGGATGGCATGTGCCAGGGTTGCGTGTCTTCAAAGGGCAGGTTTGATATTAAGGTCTCTGCAATCTGAATTTGCTATGTTCACTGTTTTCCAGTTTTGAAAATKATAAAGGAATCTTTCCAAAGTAGAAAACTTATTCCTCATAGCAGAAGGATGGGTGAAGCTCTGGTGGATGCAGCATCCTGCTGGCAGCACAGGCCTCTAGGGAAGAGTATAGGGACATTCCTCTTACTTTTCTGACTCATCTACCAAACTTTAGAAATCTCTGACTCTCCTAGCTGACCAAGTGTTGAAACTGCCTTRTTTTCGTAATTTGCTTTATCAATGTGTGGTTTAACTGATAGGCAGGACAGCAGGAAAGAGGAAGTCTGACTTTTCTCCTGTCTTATTTTTGTGCCATCATCTTTCCTTTTCCTAGCATGGAGACTGTATTGTTCCTTTGCTTTTCTTGCTGACCACTTCCTCTGAGGCATAGAGTTGTCAGCAGTAGCTTCATTCTTACCCGCTGGGTCTGTAATTTTATACTCTTTTAAAAATGGTGGCATAGCAAAGGAGACAAAAATATAGGTGATATGGTTTAGTTGTGGGCAGTAATTGTAGCAAAAGGTATGTTTTGGAATATGAGCTCCACAAACCTGTGCATAGGAAGTGGTGGGATGCACCAAAGGCAGTGTTTAGAAAGAACCAGAATTGCCTTGGAGGAGGCTCTGTGAACTGTTCCGTGATCTCAGCTTCTGTAGCACCCCTGTTGGATTTTTTGAGATGCCTCTCAGGGTAAAATATATCTTTGTTTTGTGCCTGAGGAACAGCATCTGAAGAGCTAAGCGGTGAGTAGAGTGCTGAAGTCACTGTGGTTCCCCAGTCTTTGGGAGGASAGCAGGTCACTGCTGCTCCTGCAGCACATCTCCCCTCAGCTGAGCTCTGGGTTTGCACTGTGATTCCATCTAGAGCAGGCTCTGGAACAGCCATGCTGTCCGAGGACACAGCTGGCAACAGGATAGCTCAGCTCTCTGAGGTCATGGTGGGGAGCAAAGGCAGGASTCTCTTTCCTGGCTGGTGTCATCGTGGTGTCCCTGCTGACAGATGTTTTTCTTGTCTGTAATGTACGAGCCTTGTACGACCGTAGGCAGTATTCCCTGGTTGTCAATTGATTTCTGAGGGTTATGAGTTCAGTGGTGTTCTTTTCTGGTTTTGGATGTAGCAGCTTTAAGACTGAGGTGAATCCTTAACTCTCAGAGCCAGAGAAAACTTCTCCACAGGCAGGTTACCAAAATTCCCAGCACACCAACTTTGGAAGCAGAGTTCTGTTCCCAGCCAGCTCTTGCTTGCTCTGTTGCTTGCCTGATGAGGTAAGATGCTTTCTGCTGTGTTCCTAATTGAGGCAGAGTTGGTGCTGTTACACGGCTGGCTGGTATTTGAAATGCCAGCAGAAAGATGGAAAAAATTGATTACTCTCAGTGTTCCAAGTGTTTCCAACACCCTCTCCCCTGAAAAGATCCATTATAGGAATTGCAGCACTGAAGCACGAGATTTTCTTGGTGGTCCACCAGGACCCTCATTGATGCCTGTAGGATTTTTGCTGCCTGTAGTTTGTGTGAGGCTGTGCTTGAAGAGCCACAGTTGCARCAATAGCTTCAGGAGAGAGCCAGGAGTTAAACCTTATTGCTCTGCTTCACCTTTTGTGTGATAAAGAAGGAACCCAGAAAACTGCAGWCTGCTCTGAATAAAAGCCAAACCTCTTAACTGGACAAACAGCTTCATAATTCCTTTTAAYTGCTCAAGTAAAAAATAATTTTTCCTCCGGTGTTGAGTGTTCAGTATCCCTGGTTGACATGGGCCATTCTCAGACTGCCTGTGCCCACCACAGTGCCCAGATGCTCTGGCAGAAAGGTGCTGCCAATGTTTGCAGTTTTGCTCAGAGTGCAAATGGCTACGCCTCATTCCTGAGGGGACTTAGAGGTACAATTTATATGGCCAAACTGGAAAAATTCAGAGAGAACTTTRTAATGTTTTGCTTTGGTGATGTAATCAAAATCAGCTTAAGCATTTTACTCAGGTGTGGGTTTTTTCAAAAGGAGGGGATAGCTATAACCCTAGATACCAGCTGTATCCAGGAAAGGGAGAAGACCAGTTGTGACGTGGCAGAGAAACTTTACCAGTAGTATTTAATCTTCAGATTACTACCAAAAGCTTTAGGGTCGCTTTTAAAATGAGTGTGAGGGCTGGGAGGTTGTGAGCAGAAGGGCCAAGCTGCACAGGCTGTGTTGGTTTTGTGTCTGCCATGGGCTGCAGACACTTTCAGGGCTTGAAGAGGGGCATTTCCCACTAGGCTGGGCTGTGTTTGCTGGGCTTTGCCTGCTCAGAAGTGGTGAATAGGAAAATACTTCATTCTGTGGAGATGTAGTTGCTGAGAAAAGTCCTTGGTCTTTGTTTCTTCTCTTCCTTCCGTTTTGCTCTGGTTTTACCAGGTGTAAAATACAATTGTCAGCAGTTTACATGGAAGGGGAGTGTCAGTTTTCCTGTTGAGGAAAATATCAAGGGTCTGGTTGTGAAAGGAAAGGGGAAATTGAAGAATGCCACATGGCTTCCATCTTCCTGTATTTCACCCCAGCAGAACTGCCTCTGCTCAGTGACCACTTTGTGTCTGTTGATACTTGCTAAATAGAGAATGATTTTAACAAATGATTCTGCCCTTACTCACAGGGGCCCACCAAGAGGATAATATTGCTGTGGGAGGAATCAGAAGGACACTTCAGGGCTAAATTAATAGTTAATCAAGAGTTGTTTAGAAATATCTTAACACAGAATCCAAAGAGCAATGGAATAAAAATCCATAAATTTGTGATCTTGTTCTTAGTGTMGTCTCACTTCAACTTGATTTGGCCTGGGCATCTGAGTGTTAACATTAATAAATTTTATTTTTTGTTTACCTCTGGATATGTTACTGTAAATCGTCTCACACTTGCAAGCTGCAGAATTCTTTTGTGTGAAGTATTTTGAACTTCTCAAATACAAAAAAAAAATAGTATTAAATCAGCAGGAGATGGATAGATATTAATTCTGGACCCTTCTGACTGGTGTCATGGCTGGAACAAGTTTGTTGATGTTTATGGTCAATCTGCCCAGTGCCAGTTCTGTTCAGGAATATAAATTATCTTTCAGCACCAACCTGGTGCTGATGCCAAGGACATGATCTTGACTGCTTCCTAACTTAGCTTTGAACATCTGAGCTGTGAGGAATGAGGAATGTGCTGCATCTAACCTGGAGCTGTTGGCAGCCACCAATGTCATTAATCCAGTGGGTGGAGAAGCCAGCGCAGGTGACTGGACAGCTGGAGCTGTTTTCTCTACCCAGGAGGGGCAAAGAGACCTCTGAATAGCTCAAGGAAATGCTTGATGTTGTTGGAACAGTCAGAGATCTGCTTCCCTAGTGCTTCCTGCAGCACATGTTACACTTGACCCTGCCAGCGCTGCACGCCAATAGGAGTCAAGTCATTGTCCCCAGTGTCAGATTAAACTGCTTGGCCATTGTTGAGAGTCCAAGATTTTCCTCTCTTACCCTGTTTAAATGACTGCTTGGATGTTTAGCCAAAGTAAATATGAGCYAATAAAAACTAGAGATAACACATGTAGAATAGTTGTTATAGACTAACTGTAGCACAAAAATGCACAAGTTTTGCTGGCAGCTTTTCTGCCTTAGTTTTGAAGCTCAGTTACCTGAAAAAGAGTTGGTATGGATCAAGTATAACCTCCTTCTGCAATAGGGGAACTGTATGTGAATTTATGGGTATCTTTGGAATAAGAAAGGCATCTGTTAGGCTGCTGAGGATCTAGTGCCTGCCTTGCAAGGCAAAGTGCAAAAGCCCCAGGTGAGCGCTTCATCACCTGAAAGCTGAAAGTGCTGTGCAGCTTCGGAATGCTCTTCCATATTTCTCTGCAGTCACTTTCCTTGTGGGCAATAAGTGCATTTTCAATTGGCTTTTTCAGTTACTTGGCACACAGCCTGTGAGGGCCACTGCCATAAGGTAACACTGARGTCCATAGTCTGCTCGGGGTTGGAAGGATAGGAGATATCTGTGGCTCTTGGGAGAGCCCCAACTTACAGTAAAGGGAAGAATGAGTTTGGGAGAGTATCACTGTGSAGTGACAGGGATGGGATTGCCCCTGCATTTGTGATGCAGTGCTATTGGACACCTGAGTTACCGACGGTGCTGCAGTGAAGAACTGGAGA